GCGCTTATCGCCGACGTTTTTCGACGCGTCTTTTGTGTTCATACCCAAGCGATTTTCGCAGGTGATGAGCCGAGTGAACGTGCAAATTCACTCCCTGACATTAGATGGCACTTAATGAAAGCGAATCCTATTTGATCTGCAATTCCACTCCATAACAACTCTCTCTTATCGAGATTTTTGTAGTCGCTGTCCATTTATCATAAAGCTCTTTGTGTTCAGACACCAATGAGACCAGCAGCTCTACATTCATCTTGCCTCGATGCCTCTTCTTCGTCTACTTACTTCCTCTTCGTCGTTAGGTATCAATGTATGCTCATTTTGTGCTTGAGCGCCACTGTAACTTATGTTTTACTGTAACTTCAGCAGATCCAGGCACGTGAACAAAAGCACCAATCTCATTGGTCAGCCAGTTTTTTACGCGACGCGTCAAACCAAATAAACGAGCCCGAGGTGTTTAAAAAAAAATGACGCTCTTACGTCTGGCGTTTTGCGCGTCAGTGTGGACACTCACATTGCCGCCCTTTGTTTAGTCACGAGACGTTAAACGTCGGCGATAATCGCGCGTGATAATCGTCCCGGTGTGCACAAGCCTTTAGACTGCTTTTTTTGGGGCGTTAAATAATGGCGCAAATGCCAGTAATTTGACGAGTACGGAGCCCCTAAAGGGACATGGTGGCGGAAAAAAATCAGATTGAGTGAAAAAATTTGGGGTGGGAGGAAAAAATATTTGTCAGATTTTTTGCGTTCTCTCGCAAAACTTTTGCGTTCCCTCGCAAAACTTTTGCGTTCTCTCGCAAAGATATTTGCGAAAGTTTCTCGAGGGAACGCAAAAGTTTTGCGAGAGAACGCAAAAAAAAATTTCCTCCCACCCCTAATTTTTTTTCCACCACCTTGTCCCTTTAGGGGCTCCGTAGACGAGCGCAAAAGTTAGTAAAACGCATTGCGTGATTCATTTGAATACTCTCCTCCCATGAATTTTGCGTCTGAAAAGGAAACTCCTACAAATGCATATTCAATAAGGTCAGGCGCAAAAATTACTGTGTCCACGCCTTTTCAGCGCTAATTGGTCACTGTGTGTCTTTTATAAAACCTGACAGTACAATTTTAACACCAAAAGACGGTTTGTGCTGGCACAAGCTGTTAGTAAAACTGGCCCTAAGTCTTTTGGACCTTTTCGATTTGGTTTCTGCTTTATAGTTAACTACGTTTATTCTTTTTAACCCTAAAATGTTTTTTGTAAATATCTTGACTTAAAAAAAAAATTCTAAAATTATACATCTAATTTCTTTGGCATTTAATTATTTTTTACAGTTTGGTGCCACCTGGCGTGCAGAAGCAACATAAGCGAGACACTTACTCTATTTGAGCTGTTACAGTAATTTTAGTACCTGTCTAGACAGAAAGAGTGATCTATGATATATGTCTATAATAGCCAGTGTTTTATTGTTGACATTTCTCATATCGATAAATTATATAAAACAAATTCAATAGCTCGCCAAGGCTCTCGCAGAAATGAATGTTTTCCGACGCTGATCTCATTTTTCGTTGCGTCTGTCTATCGGAGACATCCTAAATCATTTCATCTGCTTGATTTACTGGTTTTACTTTGCGATTATGTGGAAAATGGTCTTATTTACTCGCCTGCTTCTGACACTGTTATAGATTTCCACTGCTCTGAGTTTTAATTTATCAGAGAGAGTTACAAAACAACCACTTCAAATACATTGAGCTTATTTGAATGTTCGCCAGCCCCTCTCGATGTTGCGCGTCTCAGAGGTCTTCTGGCTCGCTTGTGGCATATTTAACAGATGGTGGGCCCTGAGAGGTGGGTGGAGTTGGCACACTTCCCCACAGTGCCCATATCTAACCACATCTGAAAGGTTTATTTAGGGGGCGCAGTTCGAATGCGCTGGGGTCAGAGGAAACGACTCAGTCGCCAGCTGTTCCCTATCGTTTCCACGGCCTGGATACATGCGTCTGTGCAGGAGTCTGAAACACTGGGAACGATCCGAACATCTGTGGGATGATAAATCTGAAGCTGTCACTGAGAATCAGTGTTTAGATGTTCCTCATCAGGATTGTACTGGAAACAGAAAGATCTTCTGACTGTCCTGAGAGCCAAAGAGTTCAAGACAATTCATAGGAAATTAATGAGATCTTTGTGGAAATGGATAAATGAAAATGCTGTCACTATTTACTCAACTTTATATCTTAAAAGTGAAGGTTTTAATTGGTTTTGATGGTGCCAATGAATTAACAACCATGCAGTCTACAAAATAAAGGTTCTTTTTTGATGGTTCCATGAAGAACCTTTAATCTTCTGATGCATAAAAGATTCTTTATAGTGGAAAAAAAGGTTCTTTAGATTATATAAAATGTTCTTCACGCTAGGATGAAAAAATGGTTCTTATAAGAGCTGGTCATTGAAAATGGTTCTTCTACACTCTTCAAAAGTTTTTTTTTGTTTTTGCAGCAATGCCATAGAAGACCCATTTTGGGTTCCCTAAATAACCTTTCAGTGAACAGTTCTTAAAAGAACTATGTCTTAGTGTGAAGAACATTTTAATCATCTAAAGAACCTTTTTTCACTATAAAGAACCTTTTGTACAATAGAAAGGTTCTATGGATGTTGAAGGTTCTTTATGGAACCATCAATGCCAATTAAGAACCTTTATTTTAAAAGTGTACAGCATCGCTGTGAAAACCCTCTTTTTGAACCTTTATTTTTAAGAGTATGGAGCCTTTCCATTGCATGCAAGGTTCTTTAGTATAAAACATTTCTTTCGATTTTTAAATGTTCTTCACAAGTTCTTCAAAATATATTTATTTTAAGAACTGTTCACTGAAAGGTTCTTTAAGGAACCAAAAATGGTTCTTCTATGGGATCGCTGTGAAAACACCCTTTTGGAACCTGTGTCTCCAATTTTTTCAGTGGAACACAAAAGGAGAATCTGAAGGATCTTGCCAAATATATTTTATATGCAACAACAGAAATCAGATTTAATAAGAATCTGATAAGGATCTTTTGGGTGAACTATCCCTTTCAGAAGATCTCTGTTGATCTTTCTTTTTCAGAAGCCTTCATGTTTTTATGTAAGCTTT